AAAAAAAAAGGGAGAGAAAAGAAGAAACAGCGAAGGAAAAGAAGAAGAAAAGAGGAGGAAAGAGAGGAGAAAAAAAAAGAGAAACAGAGAGAGAGAAGGGAAGAAATTTTTTTTTTATAATTTTGGATTGATTTGACGATTATACCCCTAGATTTAACGGTTCTTTTGACAGAAGGACTATTTAAGAGTACATGTATTAACGTTAGGGACCATTAATGATACAAAAAAACATTAGGGATGCAATGTGATAATTTCGCAAACGTCAGGGACGTTTTATGATAATAAGCCTTATCATTAACAACCAAGGGCATTTTTTTTAGTATTTTGAATGTTTCATCCTTTTGCTTTATAGATATAGATTCTAACCAGTTGATCTATTCCATCAACTCAATAGTAAAAAACGTTAATTAATCGGGATCCCAAGCCTCTACATTTAGACATTGTGCATTTACCCTCATTTTGTGACCTCTAGATCATTCTAATAATCCAATGGTCCAAGATACGGCACTTCAATTTTTAACTTTTGACACCTATCTATTTAATTAACTTTAACCCTAACACTGTTAACTCTAATTATTATTTTGTTTTTAAAAGGCTAAAATTAACTTTTATTTATTATAAAAATCAATAGAGGAAAAACCACAAACCTATCATCAGCCACCCATGACCCACCCCCACTCATGGCAATCCCTTCCCTCCTCATAGCCAAGCCAACCTCCCCTCCTCTTTAACCTCTTCTCTCTCTCATTTTAGTGAAGCATCATTTGCACAATCGTCCATATTTTGCCTTTTGTGCTTGGATTTGAGGAATTTGTAACTATGCATTTGTCTAAATTGATGCATGACTGAGCAACTAGACGGGGGCTTCAATCTTGACCTACAAAATTGGAATGTCCTAGTCCATATGCATATATCAGTGAGAGGACCAGTTGCTATCCAAATCATTTGGTTGATGTCTTTGTATTCTTGCTAACTGGCGATGTCTTTCTATTCATGGAAGAGAAAGAGAGTTGCCAACGGTGAACGGTGGAGAGGGGTCGAGGTGGCAGTCGGAGTTGGGTAGGTGGGATGGCTGTTAGGTTTATAATTTTTTCTTTATTGTTCAGTTTAATTTGTTTATTTTAAATTAGAGTTAACAGTGTTAGGGTTAGATTAATTAAATAGATAGGTGTCAAAAGTTAAAAATTGAAGAGTCGTATTTTGGACCATTAAATTATTACAATGGTCTAAATGTCACGAAATTCGGGTAAATGTACGGTGTCTAAATGTAGAGGCTCGGAATCTAATTAATCGATATGGCATGTCATTTTTACAGCTTTAATCGTTTAAAAAGAAACAGATTTAAAGAATGAAAATATTTAAAAATTATAATTACAAAATAAAGCATTATAGTTTAAATACTTCGTTCACGATACACACAAGTCAACTAGTATACGATACAATAACACAACAGACACAATATATTAATAGGAATTGCCATCCCTATTATGCATACCTTTCTCATGTTTAAGAGTTCGCAGTTGGAGTTGGCACTGATCAGTCCCTAGACACAAATAAGTTATATTTGTGCCTTTTTTGTGATAAATTCAAGCACGTAGGGCACGATTTTAAATTGGCCACAAGAATTCATGCCCTATGCATTCTGCCTCTTGTGATTGAGTTTGATTCTCTGTCGGTGGTTCATATGGTTAAAAATGATGAGGAGTGTCTTGCTGCTGAGGGTGCTTTGGTGGAAAGGGTACGTCGTCTTCTTGCCAATCATGAGTCATCTGCTGTTAGGCATATCCCTCGTCATGCGAATGGGGCTGCCCATCGTGTTGCTCGTTTCAGTCTCTGTGATCAAGGTGTATCGTGTTAGATGGATGTGGTTCCTTTGTGGCTCATGGAAAAGTACCCACATCCATGACCCGTTGTTCAGAAAAAGTAAGTGAATTATTTGGAGAGACACAAAGCATTTGTGTCTTTATCTCTGACAGATGTGACATGTTCTATTTGGTGCTTGCTTTGATTATCATCCACAACAAAAGGAGCCTAAAAGAGAAGGAAAGAGAAAAGGGAAAGCTGCTCTTCCCAAAGTGAGTTATTTTTTAAAGCAAAATTGTGTTTTCTGTTTTGCACGTTGTTATTAGCATTGCAATGCCTCAATTACATGTACTCTGCTAAAGTTTAAACTGAATGATACGATGTTTTTAATGTTCGGAAATTTTTGGAAAAGTACAAATTTGAAGAGGAGAAGGCTTACTTTCAAGAGGTTGATGCCTTTGAGTTGTTGGAAGAGAGAGGAGGTGGTGGTGGTTGAGAAACAGAGAGAGGGAGAATATAGGCCGCTGTGGTGGAGGGATAGAAAATAGGTGGTTTTAGGTGTTTCTTTTTTTCTTTTTTTTTGTAATTTTTTTGTTTATAAATAAATATATTTTACACGAATGAATAATTTGTGTGCATGTGCAAAAATCTAATCAGATGAACAAAGCCACATAATGCCACATAAGTGCCCAAAAGTATTGAATTTTAGGGCACGAAAAAAGAAAAATCGTGCTTTTTGAGCAATGGAAACTCCTATAAATGAAACTGACTAATTTATTGTGGTTACACTGTGACAATTACCATAGAGCACGAATAATTATGCCTTTTTGGGCTAAAGAGCACGAACAATATTGGTGGCTAAAATCAGATATTGTAGTATTGTACGATCACAAAAACACTTCAATACCACAATTTACACAAAATATAAGGACAAATGATCACTATTAGGAGCTTTTATTTTATATATAATATAAAATTATATTACGATACCGGAGAATATCAAATATTTTATTCAAAGAAAAGAAATTACATGACTAACAATACTCAATAATGATTTGTCATTTAAACAGCATAAAGCTCACAATGCTGCTGATTTTGGCTTGGGAGGATCAACCAAGCAAATGTCAAGGAAGCTATCAATGGAAGTGTACTTGTAATCCGGATATAACTTGGAGGCCTCTAGGTTGTTTTCTGTGAATTCATAAACTTGACCTAGGACGAATATATCGTGGACAATGGAAGCACGTACATTGTCAGCGTGAGGGAGTGCTGCAAGGAAGAAAGAAAGCAAAAGAAAAAGAAAACATCATTACCACAAATACATAATATTTCTTCCTTCCGTATTTAGATAACTAAGTAGATTAGCACTCAAACGCTAACCGGTTAGTAAGTTAAATACGGTGTTTGATAAGTTGTAGATGAGAATTCTCACTCTTTGAGTATTCGATCAGTTGTTGTGAGGAGACATAAACCCTTTTAAGAGTGCGTCCAGTCTTCTTCTCCAAAAGAGAAATTAAATCCAACTGAGATATAATGTTTCCTTGTGGTCTACAAGTGATGGTATTGTTGGCTGCCCTTGGATCTGTTGCTGCTTTTATTGTGTAGGCTGCTATGTCTTGCTCGTAATTCATCACGACTAGACATGTACATAAAAAACAAAACAAATATACTTCTGATTATTCATTTTAATTGACAGTTTTATTCATTTTAATTGATAGTTTTATTCAAGAATAATAATTTTAGTGAAAATAAAATTTTGTGCAGTCAAAGGTGCCTTGAGGGGCAAAACTTCCATTTGATCGTTGAGGTGAGGTTGCTTTCTTTTTATTTATTTTTACGTAAATAAAACCACCTAGAAAATAGAACATTATTTCATTGTGCATCAGAAAAAAAAAAAGATTAAATAATATATATAGTATGACTGTCAAGCTTATACCCTTGGCTTCACCAGTGCCATAAACAACGACTTCGTCCCTTTCCTCATGAGGATTAAGCAAATGACTAACAAAATAGGATCCAAATGTGTTTCCACACACATAAGTGTGGGGAATTTCTGCTGCTTCTGTAGCCCTTCTAATCTTCCTTCTATCCTCATGGACAGCCTCAAAAGGCGCCAGTGTACTTTCTCTTGCTGGATCATTTCCAAACTCTGCTGGGATAAATCTCTGTTTTTTACAATTACAATAAATATACTAGTTAGGATTAAGTGCACATACTCAAGTAGGCGAGACTGTGTGAATGTGATCCACACATTTGGATAAGAATCAGTGGTTCATATTCACCGTCTTTTCACCTTTATATTGCCGGCATCTTTGATGGCATTGATAATTTTGAACTGTTCAAGAAGTTGAGGGATAGGCAGCGTAGATATTAAAACATCAACTTGTTTTAAAGCCGCGACTAGCTTTTCATGCTCATCCAGTTCACCCTGTTGAAATGGCAGTAAAAAGCAGAATATAATTAGTAGAGTTCGGCCAATTAATTAAGAAACTGAGAGATTAACATTAATTCAATTACTTGGAAGATGGTGAGCCCCATGGCTTCAAATTCTTTGAGCAGCTCAAGCCTGGAAAAGTCGTTGCTGGGTTTGATTGGCCGAACGTAGGCATAGGTTGGATGGCCAAAAGAAAGGCTTGCCTTCACCATGAATTTGCCAAGATACCCTGTGGCTCCAATTATCAGTATCTTACTCTTCTCGTCTGAACCCATGGCTTCTTCTTCAGTAGTGCTCGTCTGATGAGCAGCTTATTTTGAAATCTGGGAACCGATTAAGCATCCTTATATAAGAAAATGATGGCATGGCATGACTTGAATGGCATGGCATGGCATGACATTGCTTGGATGGCATGGAGCCATGTGATTCTGTAAACCACAGGACAGAGTAACTTTAATTTTTGGAGACCAGTATACGCATCCAAGCCACGTCATTCTCAAACCACAAGACAGAGTAACTTACGTCATTAGGGACCAGTATGTACAATTCCTGACCAGATAATGGCCCGTTTGGCTATGTAATAATTTGGATTTGAATTAAGAAAGTTTACTTTTGGTCCCTGTAGATTGCGGTTTTATCACTTTGGTCTCCATAGTTTCAATTTTGTCAATTTTATCCTTATAGTTTTAATTCAGAGCAATAAAAGGAACGATTTAATTTCTGTCAAATTCCTCCAAATTTCATTAAGTTTTGACAACGTGGAGAGGTATTTCAGTTTACTAGAGGCATCTAAAAATAAAACACAAGCTGAAACTCTTCCCATTCACTTTAGGCGAGATTTTGGGGTTTAGGGTTTCAAAATTTTTGGCATATATGGGTTAAAATTTGGGTGAATAGGAGAAATTTGGCTCGACTAGATCAAAACACCCATCTACGTACCCCTCTAAGTGAAGGGCATGTGGTTAGAACTTAATGAAATTGAAAGGAATTTTGACAAAAATTGAAACATATCCTTATATTGCTTCGAACTGAAAACTACAAGAATAAAATTGACAAAATTGATAGATTACAATGATAAAATTGACAAAATTTAAACTACGAAGACAAAAATGATAAAACTGGTAAACTACAGGGATAAAAAATAACTCTTAGCCATGAAGACTTGAGATTCAAACCTAGATTGGAATCACTATAATTCGTTTAATTGTTGTGTTATATTGCTCCATTTAATCCTCGTGCTCCCTTATAGAATGAAATCATATTTTCATAAGTTCGTTTTTGACTTTAATAGAATTCGTTTAGTACTTGTTATATCCTCGTGTTAATAGCATTACATTGTTCAAGGAAACACGCATTAATCACCACCTTAATCATAAGTGCTGCATCACCACAATACTTTAAACATGCCATGTGCCACACCAGTTGTGTCAGCGAGCTGTACATTCCTAATTAGTCTAGGTCAACTATTTGATTATGCAAGATTATAGGCTCATAATTACATTCCTAGAATAGTTTCCTAGGCTCCGTATATATAACCTTTCTATTGTTATACATGTTCGGTTCATTTTTACACATGATTTTTCATGTTATTCACCTATTATTTTGAGTTAGTTCTTGACATTTTATAGCTTTTTACTTCCTTTTTGTGTTTTCTTAGATTTTACCTTGGTTAGAATGAAAATGAGCTAAAAGTGCATTATTGGTTATAAATTCTGATTTTGTTCATTTTCGTAGGTCAACTTCTTGGCCTTGGATCAGCATGCTCCAATGCTCGGATGAGGTGAAGATCTTCATGAAACTTGTTCCAATGGATGTTAACTACAACATATCCAAATTTGAGCTCCATTGGACAAGTTTAGCCTATCCAACTGATCCTATATGTTACAGCAGCTCTGGAATTCCGATTTTGGCCAGCTTTCACCTCCTTTGTGTCATCTTAATTTCTTGTTACCATAACTCTTGGTAACAAGGAATTACCTTTGTAAAAGAGATATTTTCTGAAACAAAGAGCATCTTGGTGAAGACAATAACAAAAGAGCCATCATGGCAAGGAGACAAGGCTTAAGGCTTTAACAAAAGTAATTGTTTTATATTAAAAGATATTTTGGAAAAGCTGGAAAGGAGGAGAGAGGAGTGCAAAGAGCATCAGCCATTGAA